AAGGAACTGGAATGTTGAAGACAGAAGCTACAATGTTGCGAGAATGTCCGTTTGGATTTGCGCAGTGACGGAAGAGGACACAATGGGAAACACATGAGACGGCAATGAGTGGTACAAACTGGCAAAGCACGGGAATCAAGTTATCAGAACCGGAAGACTCTGATTTCGTGAGGATGTCTCAAGGAATTGCACCTCTACTACTACTACTACTACTACTACTACTACTACTACTACTACTACTACTACTACTACTACTACTACTACTACTACTACTACTACTACTACTACTACTACTACTACTACTACTACTACTACTACTACTACTACTACTACTACTACTACTACTACTACTACTACTACTACTACTACTACTACTACTACTACTACTACTACTACTACTACTACTACTACTACTACTACTACTACTACTACTACTACTACTACTACTAGACTACTACTACTACTACTACTACTACTACTACTACTACTACTACTACTACTACTACTACTACTACTACTACTACTACTACTACTACTACTACTACTACTACTACTACTACTACTACTACTACTACTACTACTACTACTACTACTACTACTACTACTACTACTACTACTACTACTACTACTACTACTACTACTACGACTACTACTACTACTACTACTACTACTACTAACTTACTACTACTACTACTTACTACGACTACTACTACTACTACTACTACTACTACTACTACTACTGACTACTACTACTGACTACTACTACTACTACTACTACTACTACTACTACTACTACTACTACTGTACTACTCTACTACTATACTACTACTACTACTACTACTACTACTACTACTACTACTACTACTACTACTACTACTACTACTACTACTACTACTACTACTACTACTACTACTACTACTACTACTACTACTACTACTACTACTACTACTACTACTACTACTACTACTACTACTACTACTACTACTACTACTACTACTACTACTACTACTACAACGACTGCTACTACTACTACTACTACTACTACTACTACTACTACTACTACTACTACTACTACTACTACTACTACTACTACTGCCGCTACTAATACAACTACTACTACTGCTACTACTACTGCTGCAACTACTGCTACTACTACACTACTACTACTACTACTACTACTACTACTACTACTACTACTACTACTACTACTACTACTACTACTACTACTACTACTACTACTACTACCAATACAATTACAACTACTGCTGGGGGAGGAGAAGGGAGAAGGAAAGGAGGGAGAAGGAGGGCTCGGAGGCCCTTGGAGGGGGGGATGTGCCCATCCGAGGGAACGGTGCACCCCCCCTCCCCGTCGTGAAATCGAGGCACCAGCCGTGGCAACGACCCCCCCCCCCTATCCCCCTCCGCGACATGAGTAGAGCACCCAGGCCAGCGGAGGACGTCATAGGGGGCGGGGGTTCTGACTTCGATGAAAGAAGAAGGAGGAGAGCGGGAGGCAAGGATCAGGCAGACGAAAGCCCTTTTAGGCTTTACCCGGCGTGTGGGCATGCCCTTTGAGCACGAAGTGGCCTACAGTTGGCTCCAGGCATTGAAAATGTGGCCCGGGAATGGAGTTCTGGGAGGTCGAAGAGCACGAAGTGTGTGACTGTTGGCAGAAAGCGAGCCCGGCTCTGTTCCCGGTTCTCCAAAATGTGTCCCGGGAATGGAGTTCTGGGAGGTCGAAGAGCACGAAGTGTGTGACTGTTGGCGAAAAACGATTGGCGAAAACAGCAGCATCAGCATGATCAAAATCAGCATCACCGTCGTCATCATCATCATCATCATCATCATCATCATCATCATCATCATCATCAGCAGCACCATCACCAGCACCATGACCATCGCCAGCGCCATCACCATCACCATCACCATCCACCATCACCGTCATCCCCTTCATTGCTCACCATCGCGGTCATCATCCTAATCCTCACCCTTATGCGCATCCTGCGTCGGGCCCTGCCACCCACGCACCCACTCCCCCATTGTCTCACTCCTCGCTCCCTCCCTCCCTCCCTCCCTGTCCCCCCCTCCGCGGGGGTGGGGCGGGATCGACCAGCGGCGGCCCCATGACGCCAAACCTCACGTGCCAGCACGCCGCCAGAACAGGACTGTACTGGCCGCAGTTTTGCGGAAGCATGCTGAGCTCGTCGGCCCCCCACTTCCTCTCCCTCCCTCCCTCTTCCCCCCTCATGCCTCCTCCTCCTCCTCCTCCTCCTCCTCCTCCTCCTCCTCCTCCTCCGTCTCCCCCTACTCCTCCTTCTCACCCCCTCCTCCTTGACTCCCTCCTCCCTCTGCTGGTCGCAGATGCCCCTAACGCCAGACCCGGACGAGCGAAGCCCCCCGTCCACACTGGATGCCAGCCAGACTCCCCGTCGATCGGGCAAGAGAGGAAAAGGGGGAAGGGAGGGAGAAGGAGGGGAGGAGGAGGAGGAGGAGGAGGAGGAGGAGGAGGAGGAGGAGGAGGAGGAGGAGACGAGGAGAGAGGAGGAGGAGGAGGAGGAGGAGGAGGAGGAGGAGGAGGAGGTTCTCGTACCTGGAAGACCTCATCGTGTTCGCGCCCCCATGAACATGCAGCTGGAGCAGCGCAACTTGCGGTGGACGCCCTCACCAACCACGGCTTGACGGCTTACAGGAGCAAAACCCAAGTGTGGTCACCAGACCGAGAGAACGACCTCCCCGAGGCTATCCGTGCGCTCAGAGTCGACACCCTTGGAGTGCTTGGGCAGCACAGCGCCATGGCTAGACGTTAGACCAGCATCGGCTACGTACACGCAGAGATGACCCTGGGCAAGAGTGACCTTTGGTGCGCGGGCTCAGGCGGCGCAAGGCGGCCCAGATCCAAGCGCGCAAGCAGCCACTACCGCATCGCGCTCAGCGACCCCGATGAGCCCGCGCCAGAGGTCACTCCTGCTAGGGGCCACTCTTCCGCGCATCGGGGGCGGCCAAGAGAGGGGTGTCCAAGAGGGGGGGGGCGCACATCATGGCCAGCGGCATGTGCGCGGCCCAGGGGGGGGGCCGAGGACGTATTGAAATAGGAAGGGGCGCCATGAAATCTGGGGAGATATCATGGCCCCCGCCACGATATCCCCCCCCCCTAGTCATCACCCCCTCTTTGCCGCCCCCGAGCGAAACCGACAACAGGAGGACCAGGCCCTGGCACGCACGAGGGCAGACGGAGCTACGGCCGCGCAGGGGGCGCAGGCCTGCACCCAGCGGCTCGACGAACTCCGAGGGGCCACTCTGCTGAGGCCCAGTCGGACCTGGGCCAGAAGAGCACCCTTCGAGGGCACGAGACCCTCCGTCTGCCAAAACAAACGGAACATCCAAGGGTACCCTCCCCAGGATGCACAAGAACATCCAACGAACACGAGAAACAGAAGGGTGCCCTCTTCGAAACGACCTCGATCTTACGCCTCGGTCCGACTGTACTTCACCCTGTTGCGGACCTACGCGCAGGGATGCATCACCCACCACCTACGAGCCAACTTGAAGGTCAAATGGGTGGAGCAGCTCGACAAAGTGGTGCTTTCGGCTCTGGAACACCTGCTTCGCGGGGGACGACTGGACGAGCTGCAGAGGCTGCAGGCCACTATGCGCCTCACGGACGGAGGTTGCGCCATCCCGTCCCCCGCCCAGACGGCGCAAGCAGCCTACGCCGCGAGCTGGGCGCTCTGCTCCCACGACGTGGCGAAGTGCCTGGACGTGAGCACGCTACGCTGGAGTAGGGAACCGAACTCTATATGCACTGATGCTTTTTGCAGCCCTGCACTGAAACTTGCACAGGAACGCGGATCCTGGTGTGTACGGGATCCTGGTGTATACGTGTTCCGTCGCTTCCCCGGGAACACGGGGAACAAGTGTACACCGACCACACCACCCCGACGTCGTCCCAGACTGTAAAAAAATCCCGGAATTGAAAAACAGCCCACCACTGGTAATGTCTATGCTCCAGTGTCCGATGGAGGGGTTCCAGACGTGCCGCCCGCGGACCCCCCGAGCGCTCGCCGAGGCCAAGCAGGCCCTGCGAGCCTCGGTGGGGGCCGCCGGGCAGCCCATCGAGTGGGCCCGCAGCCTCCAGGAACCCCGGGCACGGCAAAGGCAACTTCTGGGAAAAGCCCGAGAGCGACGCTTCCGGCAGCTTCCCGAAGATGGGCGGCTGGCGCCACGGGACTGCGGCGGCGTTGGCGCAGGGGCGTTTCTCCCACCGCGACCACCAGGAGATGCTCTGCAACCAGACAACCACTTTAGAGGCCTCCCAGATCGGGGTCCGAGTAGACGGGGTCGGAGGATCGCGCCGCATCGCAGATGCATCGCCGATGCATCGACGATGCATCGGCGACGTCGGCGGTGCATCGGCGACACCAGCGTGGAGAAAATCGGGCTCCACATGGAGCCGCATCGCCGATACATCGGCGATGCGGCGAGATCCTCCAAACCCATTTATTTCGACTCCATCTGGGAGGCCTAGACACTTCGAAGTGAACCTCATGTGCTGGACTCGAAAGCCGGTCTGCCCCGCCAGCCCACGCTGCTAACACCGACGACAAGACGGAACGTTGTACGGAGAGCTCCTCGACCCACACGGGGTCCATGCACCCGCGCGCCAGAGACACCGCCGCCTTCGGCGAGGGGCCCCTCCTGATGGTGATTCATCAATTATCAAAGAGGAGGTGGAGGAGGAGGAGGAGCAGGAGGAGGAGGAGAAGGAAGGAAGAAGACGAAGAAAAGGAAGGTAGAAGATGATGAAGAAGAAGAAGAAGAAGAAGAGGAGGAGGAGGAGGAGGAGGAGGAGGAGGGGGAAGGAGGAGGGGGCAGAGGGGGAAGGAGGAGGGCGGAAGGGGGAAGAGAGCGCAATGGAGCGGAGAGAGGGGGGGCAGGCCCAGGGATGGCGGGCAACAGGAGCGGCAGCCGCAGCGCGATCGGGGCCCTCTGAGCCGCCCCGCCCAGCCGCCCTGGCGGCCAGCGCCGCCGCCGCCCTCGGCGTTGATGCGCCAGAACTCGGCCTCCGTGGTCTCCGCCTCGCCCATGGCCACGCCTCCCGCGCGCAGGCAGGGTGGGGGGGAGAATGCGAGAGCGGGAGGGGAGGCGGGGAGGGGGAGGGGGAATGGAGGAGGAGGAGGAGGAGGAGGAGGAGGAGGAGGAGGAGGGACGACGACGACGACGACGACGAGGCAGGAAAACGATTGGGGAAATAGGGAGGCCGGAGAGGGGGAGGAAGAGGAAGACGCATCAACGATGTTGGAATAAAACCAACTCTCCAAGGTCCCTGTTCATAAGTTCATATAAAAACTTATGTTCACTGCGGAAGTGACCCGTTGGAAGACATCCGTCTTAGAATCCTCAACCATGCCGAAACATAGTTTCCGGGACTGCAACGCCGCGAATCGATGTTACTCTTGCCTCCTGACGATCATGAATCGTGCCACAGCACCACTCCTGGGACTTCAACACAGCGAATCAACCAGACTGTTGCACCCTGACAGTCCTAAACCGTGCCGAAACACCGCCCCTGGGACGTCAACCATAAGAATCCACGAAACTGCTGTAAACGTTTAAGAAGCATGCGAGCGGCGCTGAGGCGAGAGCTGCATTTGAAAAGGAGCCACCCTATTTCCGCAACACTCTTCCAAACTTTGACAAGGACTTGGCGCGGCGCTAAAGCACAAGCCACGCTTTGAGAAGGAACGACCATCCATCCGTGAAGCTCTGACAAATTTTTAAGGCGAATGTGCGTGGCGTAAGGCGAGAACCACATTCAAAAGACGGCCCGCCCTCCATCGGGGCGCTAAGGCGAGAGCCACATTTTGCAAACGACATGCCCTCTATCCGTGAAGCTGCTGCAAATTGTAAGCTTCGGGCCATCAATGGTAAGGAAGTCTCGGGCAAAACGCCCGGTCCGCCCTACCGACGCGTCTCGGGGTGCGACAGGGAGGAGATACAAGAAAAGGGATGGAGGGGGGGGGGAGGCGGAGAAGGTGGAGAAGGAGGAGGGCCCAATCTCTCGAGGCTCTTTCGACGTTAGCTCACCGCAGGGCTAACGAGCCTGAGCGAGCCAGCCAACGCGACAAGGAGCGGGGCTGGGAGGCTTGGGTGGAGAAGCACACTAATGAGCAAGGGGCCCCTGCCCTGTCTGCCCTGTGCAGTTTTTCCAAGGTCCCTGTTGGCTGGGCCCCTGATGAGACCACTGGAGAGTCCGTTCCCTTGGGGTCCACAGAGCAGATCGAGCAGCTTAGGAAAATCGGGAGGCCTGGTGGCGCGTCTGAAGCGGACCCAGCGTTAGTCTGGTCTGATCTGTCGCAGTTTGAAACGCCACCAGGGCCCAGCAGCTGACGCCACGCGTGAAAAGTCTTTCGGGCCTCGAACGGGACAGGGGTATGACTGTGTAAACCCTCGGCATCTCCTGTTGCTTAGGCCTGATGGCCTTGAAGCGCTTGCCGAGGTGCTGCATCAGATTGAGCGTCGTCTGGAATGGCCTGTGCTTTGGAACAAGATGATTGTCCTTACAAAAAAAGACGGGGGGCTTGTGGCTCATCGCACTCTTGCACGTCCTTGCGAGGGTCTTGTGTCGATTACGGAAGTTCGAAATCCACATCTGGCGGCGTACGAATCCTCGCACGCTTGAGTGGGGAATCAAAAGGCAAGGCCTCCAATATGTGTCTGGGTGCAGGTGGCGTGAGCTGAGTGGGCTCATGGTCGGGGGATGTCTTCGGGGACGGTGTTGGTTGACCTTCAAAATGTTCGGGGGATGTCTTCGGGGACGGTGCTGGTTGACCTTAGGAAGACCTCTGAGCTAAATTGGGAGCCATCACCTCGTTGCTGCCGCACAGCGCACAGGCTTCCCCATGAGGTTGTTGCGTTCGCTCGTTAGCCTGTACCCGTTGCCGGGGATGGTTGATATGGGCACGTGTGCGTCAAGGCCAGTGTTTCAGAGCAAAGCGTGCTGCCAGGTTGTTTTTGCCACCATGCCCCAATTTCTCCTGCGGGGACCCGTGGACTGGGTGCGTCGCGTTGCGCCATCGCTTGCAGTATCTAAGGTGGCCGACGATGTTGGCTTGCAGCGTTTCGGAGAAGAGTCTCGTGTGAAAAAGGAGCTCGTAGCTGGTGGCTTGGCGCTGCATGATCAGATGAAACATTGACCTTCTCACTGCCAAGGATAAGGCGCGCTTCCTCAGCAGCACTGTCAGTCTTAGGAAAGCGATTGAGCAAGAATTGTCTGGACTTCGAGGCCAGTGCTCGCGCACCGAGAATAATCTGGGGGGGATTTCGAGTCGGGGAGGCGGCTGGGACGGGGCACCAAGCCAGAACGTCTCTGCGCTGCTGCTGTGCGAACGCGTAGACTTAAGCTGCCTGTATAGGTAAAGCGTCGGCGCATTGTGACGCGCATGACCAAGACCCCTGTTGACGCGAGTGTCAGTTACGGCAGTAATGTGACGGGCACCAACGGGCAGGAAATGCAGAGACTCCGCCAGCTCGTCGCCAACCAGGGGCCCACCAGCTCCTCCTCTCTGACCCGCTGCCTCATCTTGGCCCCTGGTAGGCGTGTGGACCCCATGCTCAAAGCCACTGTGGACACCCCAATATGATGCTATGCTTGCAGCCTGGCAGCAAGGTTGGGTACCCCGGCAAATGATCTCCCAAGCCCTCCAGAGCGCCCAAGCCAGGACCCGTGGCCACAAGGGCGTGACAAAGTGCCTCGGGCCCTTTCTCTGCTTGTTTGGCCACCTGCGATCGTATTGGGATTGAAGTTCAAGATTTCCGTCGATGAAGTTTCCCGTTGGGGTTGGAAAATGACCCCACCGACGTGTGCTTGCACGGGCTGCGCATCTTAGTTGATCGCACAAGCGAAATGTGCCAGTGGAGTTGTGTGGCCAACATTTTGTGTCGGAAGGGGGCGCTGATCGAGCCCATCCTTTCTTTGATCTCGCGGCGTTCCCCTCTCACGCCCGACGAGAGAGACTACTTGAGTTCTGTGGTGATAGGCAGTCAGTGGACCCAGCAGAGAATGAATGAGGCCAAGCTCGTTGTCAGTCCTTAGTGAAAGGTACGCCTTGAATCCACGGGATCCCTTTTTCACAGGCATCCGGTTTACGATGGCCTCGTGTCTGCGGGAGCTGTGCAGCCAGCTTCGCTTCGCGAGGTGCTGCCCGAAAATCCCTCGGAGCTTATCGATCTGCTTGGCAGCAAGGCGCTTTTGCCGTTTGATCGCCACCCTGTCTTGCCCCCACCAGCGCCTGAGCAGTTCTATGTCGGCCATCGTGAGCAGCTCACTGGAGATTTGTTTGTCGACAGGTCCCGATATGATCACGAGCTGCCAAATGGTTGCACGACTGCTTGGGCTGTCATCGCTTTGCACCCCTCCCCGCCTCCTCCCTATACGACGAGGGACTTCTCGGTCGCGGTGGTTTTTGCAGGAAGGTTGAGGGGCCTATCCAGTGCATTGATCCAGCTGAGTTGACAGCGGTGCTTCAAACGCTCCAGAATGCCCTGCCACCAGTTGTTATCCACACGGACAGCGACTTGATTTGCTTCGGGTTCACTCGCAGGAAAGAGAGAGAGAGAGAGAGTGGAGGGCAGCCTTCCAGTGCCCACGCCGACGCGAGTGGAGGACTCGGGCCCCAGACGGTGAGTTTCGTGAAGGTCAAGGCCCAAGGCCCATCCCAACCCGGAGCAGAGAAGAGGTACGCCGGCCAAGTTTGTCGCTGGCAATGTCTGTGCAGATTTCTGGGCTGAGCGGATAGCGAAGCAGCGTCGTGTCGACGTTGCTGTTCGTCGGCGCTTCGTCCGTGCATGCCGTCTGGGGAGGGCGGTGGGTGAGCAGGTGGGAAAGGCGGGGGCCGCGCTGGCGGCGCTCGACACAGAGCGACTCTCTCGTCGCGAGCTTCTGCGAGCTCGTCGGCGACGACAGGAGGCGCGCCCCCCGCCGCGCGCGAAGGGCGCCAGCGGCTGCTGCTGCTCCCCGCGGCCCCTCCCCATGGCACGAGAGCCGGGGGGCGCCGACGCCCGTTGCGGCAGGGCTTCGGGGTCCTGCGAGTGGGCGCCGAGCACGCGGAGCCCCGCCGCCTCCCTTGCTTGCCTCCCTGCTTTGACTGCCTCCTCCTCCGCCTCCTCCTCCTCCGCCTCCTCCTCCTCCTCGTATTCGTCCTCGTCGACCTCCTCCTCCTCCTCCTCCTCCTCCTCCTCCTCCTCCTCCTCCTCCTCCTCCTCCTCCTCCTGGGGGGGGGGGGCTGTGAGGGCGGGCCACTGGGCCCCTCACCGCCTTCGCCGGGAGAGCCATGCTGCAGCCAACCAGCACAGGAAGGACGCAGGAGAAGGATGCAGGGAGCCTCAGAGGGCCATGTCGACGCTCTGCGAGCGGGGCGCGGCCAGCGGAAGCGGCCAAGGAAGGGCCGAGGGGGAAGGATGCAAGGGTAGCCTTTGGAAAGTGGCTCATGTTTACGGTTGCTATGCGGGTCGACTGTCGATCCTCCTCCCGAGCAGGCTTGCCTGTTTAGGGATTGCAGCCACTGGGGGCTCTATCCCGACAGGGTCGGCGAATCTTGTGCGCTGTGACTCCTGTGACGCCTCCCTCCCCGCCCCCCCTTTTCCTCGCGCCATCCTCCGCCCGAACACGCCGCCGAACACGCCTCCGAACACGCCTCCTCTCTCGGGGGAGGTCAACCGACCACCCTCACCGATCCTCGCCAGGTCCATCCTGAGCTCAGGATCGGCCCAGCCAGGATCGGTGAGGTGGTCAATGTACGTCGCCGCACGTGATGCAGCGGCTGCTGCGCTCAGGTGTCAATACGTCGACTTCTTCTCCTTCCCCTCCTAATCATCTTCCTGGTCCTGCTCGCCTCCCCTATGCGGCCTCGGCGCTGCGCACTGAGGACCGCCTTCCCGAAGGCCTCGGTCGCGGGCAAACGCAGCCGCGGGTCCTCGTCATCATCCTTGCCATCGTAATGGTCGTCTTCTTCTGGTCCGTAATAATCAGCACCATCACCATCACCATCGCCATCACCATCAACATCATCATCAACATCATCATCATCATCATCATCATCATCATCATCATCATCATCATCATCAGCATCAGCATCAGCATCAGCATCAGCATCATCATCATCATCATCATCAACAACATCATCATCGTCATCATCCTCAGCAGCAGCATCGTCATCATCGTCATCATCGTGAACACCATAATCATCATCATAGCCACCAGCATCAGCATTAGCATCATCATCATCAGCAGCAGCATCAGTATCATCGTAATCAGCATCAACATCGTCATCATCATCATCATCATCCACATCATCATCATCATCATCATCATCATCATCATCATTATCATCATCATCGTCAGCATCATTATCTTTATCAGCATCATCATCATCATCATCATCGTCATCATCATCAGCACCATGGTCATCATGATCATCATCCTCATCATCATCATCATCATCATCATCGTCAGCATCATCATCGCCATCGTCATCGTCATCATCATCAGCATCAGCAACATCATCGTCATCATCGTCATCGACATCGCCATCGTCATCATCAATATCATTCACCACCCGTCACACGTCGTCATCGTCATCATCATCGCCATCCTCATCATCAAAAGCATCAGCATGATCAACAACAGCATCAGCATCATCATAAAAATCATCATGATTACCATCAGCGGCATCATCAGTATCATCAACATCATCGTCATCATGATCATCATCATTCTCTCCTCGTCATCATCCTCAGCATGCATGATCAGAATCATGGTCATCGTCGTCGTAGTCACCATCGCCAGCGTCGCCATCATCAGCAACATCGTCATCAGCACCAGCATCTTCACCATCACCACCAGCATCATCACCACCATCATCATCGTCAGCATCATCATGGCTATTATCATTTGAAATTTCGTCACCATCATCATCAGCATCATCAGCAACAGCATCAGCATCAGCATCATCATCATCATCAACATCAACATCGTCATCGTCATCGTCATCGTGAACAGCAACACCATATTGATCAACATCACCATCACTGCCGCCACGACCACCTTCACCATCACCCTAGTTGTCAGTTGTCACCACCGACATCAGCAACATCGTCATCAGCATCAGCATCATCATCAGCATCAGCATCATCATCATCATCAACATCAACATCCCCGTCATCATCATCAGTATCAGCATCCTGATCATCATCATAATCAGCGTCAGCATCATCACCATCATCATCATCCCCACCATCCTCAGCAGCAGCATCGTCATCATCGTCATCATCGTCATCACCATGACCATCATCATAGTCACCAGCGTCAGCATCAGCATCATCAACATCAGCATCAGTATCATCGTAATCATCATCAGCATCGTCATCATCATCATCATCATCATCATCATCATCATCATGAAATATCATTATCAGCATCATCGTCGTCATCATCAGCATCATCATCGTCAGCATCATCATCGCCATCGTCATCGTCATCATCATCAGCATCAGCAACATCATCGTCATCATCGTCATCGACATCGCCATCGTCATCATTAACATCATCCACCACCCGTCAGCTGTCGTCATCGTCATCATCATCGCCATCCTCATCATCAAAAGCATCAGCATGATCAACAACAGCACCAGCATCATCATAAGCAGCATCATCATTACCATCAGCATCATCATCAGTATCATCAACATCATCGTCATCATGATCATCATCATTCTCTGCTCGTCATCATCCTCAGCACGCATGGTCAGAATCATGTTCATCGTCGTCGTAGTCACCATCGCCAGCGTCGCCATCATCAGCAACATCGTCATCAGCACCAGCATCTTCACCATCACCACCATCATCATCACCACCACCATCATCATCAGCATCATCATGGCTATTATCATTGAAAACGTCGTCACCATCATCATCAGCATCATCATCAGCAGCAGCATCCTCATCATCAACATCAACATCGTCATCGTGAACGTGATCAGCAGCACACGATTGATCAACATCACCATCATGGCCGCCACGACCACCTTCACCATCACCATAGTTGTCAGTTGTCACCACCGACATCAACAACATCGTCATCAGCATCAGCATCATCATCAGCATCAGCATCATCATCATCAACATCAACATCCCCGTCATCATCATCAGTATCAGCATCATCGTCATCAGCATCATCAACATCCTCGTTCCCATCAGCATCATCATCATCATCAGCAGCAGCAGCAGTATCAGCCTCGTCATCATCATAATCATCAGCATCATCAGCATCATCAGCAATACCAACACCACCATCACCATCAGCATCATCCTCATGATCATCACAATGATCGTTATCATTGGCATCATCATCGTCATTGCAATCGTCGTACGCATGATCATCATGATCGTCATCAGCATCATCGTCATCATGATCAGCATCATCGGTCTCATCATCGTCGTCATCACTGCTATCCCCATCACCATCACACTCACCAGCACCGTCATCATCAGCCTCATCATTAGCATCATCATCACCATCATCACAATCCTCCTTATCAGAATGATTATTATCATCATCATCATCATCATCATCATCATCATCATCATCATCCCTTCTCGCCGAGCCTTCCCCATCCACTTTTCCCCTCCGTAGATTGTCCTCCTCCTCCGCCCCTTCCTCCGCCTCATGCGCCAACTCCTTGTCATGACCATCATCATCGTCGACATCAGCCCCATCGTCCCAATCAGCATCAGCATCATCAGCAGAATCAGCATCGTCGTCATCATCGGCACCACCATCACCATCACCAGCATCAGTACCACCGTCATCATCAGCATCATCATCATCAGCATCATCACCAGTATCATCAGCATCATCAACATTGCCATCAGGAGAATCAGAACCATCCTTTCTCGCCCGGCCTTCCCCACCCCCTGATCCACTACGTAGATCGTCCTCCCCCTCCTCCTCTTCAACCTCTTCCGTCAGTTCACTTCCTTCTCATCGTCCTCCCTCCGTCTCCTCCTCCTCCTCCTCATCCTGTTCATCCTCCTCCTGATGATCGTCCTCCTCATTCTCCTCATTATCATCCTCCCCCTCGTCCTCCTCATCATTATCATCATCATCAGCAGCAGCAGCATCATCATCATCAGCATCATCATCAGCAGCATCATCAGTGGCAGCAGCAGCATAATCAGGAACATCAGCATCATTATCATATTCTCACTCCCAACATCAACATCATCCTCATCCTCATCCCCATCCTCATCATCAACATCATCAGCATCATCAGCAGCATCATCAGCATCACCACAATCAGCCGCAGCATCATCATCATCATCAGCAGCAGCATCATCGTCATGGTTTGCAGCATCATCATCATCATGAACATCAGCATCATCATGAACATCATCATCGCCATCAGCATCATCATCAGCATCATCATCATCAACATCCTCAGTAGTATCACCACAGCCGTCGTGAACACAACAACATGATCAGCATTCCCCCTTTATCAACATCAGCAGCATCAGCAATAATCAACGCAATCAGCATCCTCAGCATCATCACCATCACCGTCATCAGCATCGTCACCATCATCATCATCATCATCATCATCATCATCATCATCATCATCATCATCATCAGCGTCAGCATCACCATCATCATCATCATCATCATCATCATCACATTCATCATCATCATCATCATCAGCATCATCATCATCTTCATCATCATCATCACCATCATCATCATCATCATCATCATCATCCCCATCATCATCAGCATCGTCATCATCCCCGTCATCATCGACAGCATCATCATCAGCGTCATTCAGTATCAGCATCATCACCATCGCCAGTATCATCAGCATCATCATCGTCATCATCATCAGTATCATCGCCAGCATCGTCGACATCATAACACTCGCTGGCATCATCATAACCATCGAGAGCATAATCATAATCAACAGCTTCATCACGATCAGCAGCATCATCAGCATCCTCATCATCACCAGCATCAGCATCAGTATCGTCGGTGTCACCAGCATCGCCATCGTCATCGTCATCATCATCGTTGTCGTCACCATCACTATCGCCATCACCATAACCGTCAACTTCAGCATCACCATCAACATGACCATCAGCATCACCAGCACCATCATCATCATCATCATCATCATCATCATCATCATCATCATCATCATCATCATCATCGCTATCATCATCATCAGCATCAGCATCCGCATCAGCATAAGCATCAACATCGTAATCATCAACATCGTCACCATCGTCATCGTCATCGAAATCGCCATTGCCGTCAACATCAACATCCCGTTTCCCTGGGCCCTTTCCGCCACCCTTCCCATCCGTATATCCTCATCATCCGCCTCCGTCTCCGCATCCGTCTCTCCTCGTCCTCCACATCAAACTCCTCCTCCTCCTCCTTCGCCGCCTCCCTCCTCCTTCCCCACCTCATTAGCCTCCTCCGCACCCTCCTTCCCCTCCTCATCATCAGCATCAGCATCAGCATCATCAGCATCATCATTACCATCAGCATCAGCATCAGCATCAGCATCAGCATCAGCATCAGCATCAGCATCAGCATCATCATCAGCATCAGCATCATCATCATCATCAGCAGCATCATCAGCATCATCATCATCACCGTCGTCGTCGTCGTCGTCATCGCCATCATTATCAGCAGCAGCAGAAGCCCTTCTCGCTCGGCCTGCCCTGGACCCTTTCCCCTTACGTATGTCCTCCTCCTCCTCCTGCACCCCTCCTCCTCCGTCCCTCCTCGTCCTCCTCCTCGCCCCCCGCCTCGTCTTCCTTCTCCTCCTACTCCTCCTACTCCTCCTCCTCTCCTCCCCGTCCTCCTCCTCCTCCTTTTCCGCCTGCATG